AAAACGGCCAACCCGAGGCGGATCGCCACCGCAAGCGACGATGTCGTCGCCGAAGCACGGTGGAGCTGCCATGCTGGAATTCTGATATTGGCCAAAAAGAGCCCTAGATCTGATTTGAGATTTTTTTGGGACATGTGTTGGTACCGGAAGTGTGTTTCAATTTCCCAAAAAAATTTAGGGAATTTAGGGACAGTCCGTAGGCGCAGTGAGAATCCGATTTCAGATCCCAAAACAAGTAAGGATTTCTCACCCTATTTTCTATCACGGTATTAAAGCTCAATAAATAATAAAACGACATTTCATGAATTAATACATGTGTATAATTAATTAAAGTTACTAATGGAGCTCGAATCTGATATATTTTTCGGTCAGTTGTTGTTTGATTTACTTTACAGTTTTAAATGCAGTATGGTATTTAATGTGTTTATTCTATGATTTTGTATGCATGAATCACGGTTTCGTTTATTATGGTTTGAATTATTGTGAACCCGTTGTTGTCTTGTTTGGTGTTCATTACTAGTTTACGTGTTTATATTTGACTGGATAATTGAAACAAAAAAAAAATGGAAAAAGGTATGTGAATTGATAAATGGATAATGTCGATAGCCCAACTAGATATCCTGGGAGATGGTGGACGGACCGGGTCCGTAGGGAATCCTACCGAGAACGTGGTCTCTCATATCGAACGGGGTATAAAGATCTTATGTGTTTTGGCGCCTATATCAGACGGGGTATGGGAACGACCCGTTTCACCCTCATACCGGACAAGGTATTGAGATTTATGGTTTTTGGCGCCCATACCGGACAGGGTATGAGGACGGCCCTGAATCAAGTTATCAATGTGAATGGTTTACGTGTAGCGGGGACCACTATGGATCCCGATGGATACTAGTAGGCTGATAAAAGAAAAAAATCTGTTGTCTGATGATTGAAATGCAAAGGTATGATATGTGTTATGTTATAAAGCGTGTATGATTTTATGATATTATAATGTTATTATTTTCTTATGTTGTTTTCATGAAGCTCATCGAGGTAAGTGGACAGTAAAAGGTTTTATTATTGATAAATGAATTTATCATGAATTATGCTTCATTGGTTATTTTTGTTTTCTACCAACCTTTACTTATGTGACAGTGAGATAGTATGATGTCTTTACTGGGCTAGTGTAGTTCATTCCTTATTTAACCATTTCAGATCAGGAGGATTTGGTTCCCGAGCTCGTCCCGCAGGAAGACAACGAGTAGACGCCTAAGGATTTCATAGTTTTATTTATAGTATTCATTACTAGTATTTACCTTAATTAATTGATTCTTTCACACGTTGAATACATTTTTGGTTATTGTGTAAGGGATGTTAATCAGAATTTTTATTTCGCTTTCGTACTTAGAATTTTTAATATATACATTTTCTTTTAAATTTCCGGGGCCGTTACAGCATCACCTCTGTGCTTCGGCATTGGCTTCGCCACCCACAGCAGCAGTTCGCCTTAGTCTAGCCAGTTTCGACTAGTTTTGGTCAGTTTTGGTTGGTTTCGCATATAAACCTACGAAAAACTTAAGAAGCCTCGATTGGCTTAAAAAAGCAAAAAATCGAAACTTTACCGCAAAAGGTCTCAGGGTGCGGTGGCTCTGCCAGTTCTCCTTCG